GCCATTAATTTCATGATTTTTGTCTAGTTATTATGCAGAGAACTGCAAAAACTCTGAAGCAGAATAGATTTAGGCTGGATATATGGAAGTTGTCAACATGAAGGGGAACTAAATATTGAAATGAAGAGATGAAATAATTTTATCTGGTGGCTTTAAGAACAGGTCAGACTGTCGCTGGCCTATAGGAAGGCAGAATTAGCTTGTAGACCACAGGCTCTGAAGTTAGAGGCCTGCGTTAAAGATCCTACACATAGATTGCTCCAGACCATATGGCACAGGTGGGGCAAACTACTCAGCCTAAGCTTCAGTCCCCTCATCCAGAAATGGAGTTAACAATGGTGCCAATTCATTGATTTACTAGGAAGATTAAATGGAACAATACAGGTAACGTACTTATGCTTGTCCTATCACACTGTGCATAGGACCATGCAAGTTTATACCTGCCTCTAAGGGCTCTACAAGGCCCTGGGGTTTGGAGGTTTTGCCTCTCAGAGGAATAACCAGTGTCAAAAAAGTTAGTTCTCTAAATTCCCCCATGACCCTATTTGATGGGTTTCAGACCAAGGTCAGATATTCTGCCATATTACAGAAGTACAAAGGTTCAACAATAGGAAATTCTATTTCATCAGTGAAATCGAAAAAAAAAAGTCCTTACATAGATTATAGCTCCAACTTGGTAAAAGAGCTGGCTTTGCTTGGAGAAGGAGGAGGCACCACACTTCCCTGCCAAATATCTAACCCTTTAACAATGCCGGTCTGGCAAGCCTGAGTGCTCCAGGAAAAGGCCACCAATAGAACCTTCCAAGGGTCTGCATGGAGTAGGGAGAGAGCAAATACAGTCAGCTCTTTTTTCTCTGCAGGAAAGGAAGGCTGAACAACTGCACATCAGGAGGCAAGGCAAACAAATTGCCCATTCAAGCCAAAGTAAGCTGCTCTAGGGGGAAGTAAAACAGCTGGAGCCAATTCAGCCAGACACAGAGGTGAGGGCCCCCGAAGATGCAGCAGGGCCTGGGTATCCTGCCTCTGGCAGCCAGGGATCTTTTGAGGAAGTGGTAGCCACATGCCCTCATGTCACCTCTGCTAACTTCAGTCTATGCCCACAAATGAGAGCCAGCCAGCCAGCTGTGTCAGATGTGGAGGGAAATCCTGGGAAGGAAAGAAGGAAAGAAGGAAAGAAGGAGGGAGGGAGGGAGGAAGCGAGGGAAGAAGGGAGGAAGGGAGGGAGGGAGGGAGGAAGGGAGGTAGGGAGGGAGGGAAGAAGGAAGGGAAGGAGGGAGGGAGGAAGGGAGGGAGGAAGAAAGAGGACTAGAGTACCTGCCAAGTGAGCGAGCACCTGCTTGGCACCTGTTACGTGGCATGCACTGAGCTGGCACCTGGCATACCCATGCCATTTGGAGAACAACTTTTAGGGGTGGGTTCATTTTATAGATGAGGAATCAGGCTCAGTGAGGTAGAGTGATTGTACAGAGCACACAGCTAGAGAGTGGCCAGGCCAGCTGTGGCCGATGGCCTCAGTGCTCTCCTTGCCTCCTTGCTGCTGGTCACTTGAGTTTCTCTATGCCCAGCTCTAGCAGTTCCTCCTCTGTCTAGAACAGGAACTTGAATCTCCTCACCGTCTTGTCTAGCCATGGCAGTGCCTGACGGCAAACACAAAACATGTCAAAAGAAACTTCACTGGAAAACTAAGGAAAAGACCAAACCGCATGCAAGAGAAGGGGAATAAAAGAAACCTGGAAGCAGGTGAAGTGGCAGAGTAGAATTATTTTGATCCTCTAGGAAACCTGACATGAGGCTGCTATAGGGTTTGCCTCTGGCTGGAACATGCAAGTTCTGAGTCCCTGTCTGGGACACTGGGTAGCAGAATCCTGACCTGGAACAAATCTGAGACAGCACAGTTTCCAGGGCTGTTGGGATTTCCAGATCCCCCAGACTGGGGTTCCCAGAATCCAGCTTACAAATTCATTCTGCAGCTATGCTGAGATCCTGCCCTGGACCTGGACATCCTAGGTAGAGAAGAGACTTCCTTCTCTAGCTTCTGCAGTTCCCACCTGAACCTTAGGCCTTCTTAGAGTTATCTTATAATTACTCCCTTCCTTGAACTCAATATAATAATAATAATAATAATAATAATAATAATAATAATAATAATAATAATAATAGCAGCTAACATTTATTGAGCTTTACTTTTGTGCCAGGCACTGCTGGCACAATAATATGCAATAATATGATATTCCAGGTGAGACGATCAAGACACAGAGAGGTTAAGACACTTATACAAAGTTTTACAGCTTTGTGGAGGAGCCAGGATTTGAACCCAGGTAATCTGACCCCAATGCCTATGCTCTTCTTAACTACCACCCATACTGCCTGGGCCCTGTACAGATGCAAAGGAGCAGTCTTGAGAGTCAGGCTGACAGCTCTACCATTTACTTAGCCCTGGGCAACCTGTTTAACCTTTGAGTCTCAGTTTGCTTCTCTAAAAAGGTGAGTATGATGAATGGGCTTGTGGGGTTGTATCCATTCGAAGGCAGAGTAGGTCCTGAATTATGGCCTTTCACCCATCTCTATTTCACCTCCCTTTCCAGTTTGATGTGTTTGTTGCACACTCATTAGACATTAAGTCGGCCTCTGCCCTTCTTTAGCAAAGTTTGGCTTTGTTATATTTCTGTTCTAGTCTATTCTATACCCTTTCATGCCTGTCACATGTGGGATTCTGCACCAGACAGTGAGGAGCTGGGTCTCGGGGAATCAGACTGAAGGCAGGAAACCCCTCTAACATACGTGATGATAGAAGGGCTGAGGGAGGAGCTCCCATGAGAACCAGGCTTGCTGGCAGGAGCTCTCTTCCAGCTGGCCTCCAGCCAGGCTACCAGGTGGTTTCTTGTCACTTCCTGCTGCTTTGCCTGCACCCTGCAGGGCACCCACTGGGGGCCCCATTCTTCCAGTGGTGGGGAGCCTCTGGTCTCTGCTCACTCACAGGCAGATAGGCACATCCAGACCCTTGTGAACAGGCCTGCTTTCCTGACTCTGGAACCACTCATTCAGCAGACCGTGAGCCGGGCCCCAGGCAGTGAGGACAATGGGAAATGACAGATCTGTCCTCGGCGAGTTCACCAGCACTCCCTGCTCTCCCACTGCCTCTGGTACTCTTCTCACTTGGGTAACACTGGACACACCGTTCCAGAATGTTATCATTTCTCTCTCCCAACTAAGAATTACTTCTCTAGGATAGTTACACCAACAAGCTATTATGCCCTCTCCACACCTGACAAAGAGAAATGCAAAACAAAACAGAATTTTATATATATATCTTACACACACCCTATATACCAGATATTTCACATATATTTTCTCACCTAATCCCCAAAGAACAATCCTGCAAGGTGGAATTATCCCCACTGCGTGGATGAGGGCAGAAAAATACAAACTCCCACAGAGACGGCGCCAGTTGAACCATGGCTATCTGCTTGCAGAGTCCATGCTCTATAGGCCTAGGCTGCCTGTGTCAGCTCAGCCTGCTACCCTGCTAGTTCTGGCTGCCTCCTTCATCTGGATTTTGTTTTCCCACAGATTTAGATCCCCTGCAATCTGCCTGTTTGTACTGTCTCAGAAGAAACCAACCTCTCTCCCAGTCCCATGACAGCAGCAGCAAAGACCTAGGCTCCACCTGTCCTTTGATGAGCTTTCTTAATTACACCCAGGCTGCAGCAGTTCCAGTACAAAGTATCTGGTGCTGCGGCAAAGCTTGCAGGTTTGCTGTTACATTTTCTCTCCTCTGACTCTAGCCCCAACTACTCCCCAACCCCCCTCTGGCTGGCAGCCTACTTGCTCTGCTGTTCTTGGTTCTGCCTCTGCCTCCCTGCACATCACATTGGGGCCTGCAAACAAACTGCTGCCACCCCAGGCAGCTGAGCCAGTCTAGCTCAATTCAAAAAACAGTGCTTTAGTCTCTGCTGATCACAGGCACTGCTCTGGGTGCTACAAACAGGCAGGAAACAAAGCAGCAGCTTGGGAAGCTGAGAGTCAGAGGCTCGGGGTATATTCAGGAACAGAAATCACTGACCCAAGGCAGGCAGGGATGGGGTTGTAATAGGATCCTAAAATATCAGAGCAGGAAAGAACCTTGGTTTTCTGTTTTGACAACTCTGTTTTATAGATGGGGGAACTAAAGCCCAGAGGAATGTATGATACCAGGTAATAACAACTAACACTCATAACACCTTTACTAGGAACTGAGACTATTTAAAGTGCTTTATATATACTAACCCCTTCAATCTTCACAGTAAGCCTAGGATGGGGGCACTGCTACCCTCCCCGTTTTAAAGAAGAGGAAAATGAGATGTGGAGGGGTTACTTACCTTGTCTAAGTTCCCACAGCTAGTAAGTGGAAGCCTGTACTGAAGTCAGACAGTTGGGCCCTACAGTGTTGACTCTTCAATGTACTGTGAGCTGCGGACTGAGTCTACTTGTGTTAGCAATGAGAAGGCTTCTTAAAGGAATTACTCAGAGGCCTGCTTATAAAACAGTGAGCCTTGGTTAACCAGAGTCAACTAAGAGGAAGCCCCAGTTAATCAGAGGCTTAGCTTCAACTGAGAGTTCCTAAGTGCCATGAAATATAGGGCAGTGACTGCAGTCAGCAGAGCCCCCTATTTCCAAAGAAAGAGGAAGGAACCTGGTGTGAGGGATTTATTCAAAAAACCAGAAGGAGCCCAATCCTCTTTCTCTTTTATGTCTTTCTAAACATGATGCTGTAGCCTCTAAGATCTTTAATATCCTCAAATGCCACCCAATCAGGTATCTTAGAGATGTTTAATGATGTAGACAGACATGTTTTAAAAAGGGGCTCTGGTAAAGCTTCAGTCAACCAAAGACTTCCATTTCTAAGACTCTCCCAACATTCAAATATGCATGCGCCCTATCTTTGGTTAACCAAGAGTCATTTCCAACTCTGCCACATGAGTTTCAAAATAAACACAATTATTAGTATACTAATTACTCACCAATCACTGCCAGATTATGCTCTGAGCCACAAGAGACCTGTAAAAAGAAAGTTATATTGTATTAGAGAAAGAAATTTCTTTCAGCCACTGTATTTTATGATCACAGTTATTTTTTAATATTACTAATACCATTTTTTGGCAAATTTTAAGACGTAGGTTAAAAAGGAGCATCCATACACAAAAGTTAAGACTAAAATTACAACACACAATTACAGAAAAACAAAAAAAGAGAGAGAAAAAAACAACATTAAATGGCAACATATGAAGATGTTGAATGTCTTTAGGCAATGACACGATGAGTGAAATTTTCTACATTTCTTGTATCTTTCAAACTTTCTATAATAAACATGTGTTACTATAAAAGTGGAAATTACAAGGCAATATGACAGTTTTTGAAAACTGAACTAAGAAGTTCATCACTCTTATCTGGACAATCAAATGAGCAAAGAATTCAGTAAAAAGAGACTTGTCCAAGGAAAAATGCTTGGCTTTTCCTCATCTGCTCGCTCTCCTTTCTATGTTTCAGCCACACAAACTATCTGTGGTTCTTCAAACCCATCATTTTCTCTCACCCCTCTGGGCTTTGCACATGCTGTTCCTCTGCATGGAAGGCCCTTTCTTCAACTACCTACCTAGAAAACTTCTACTCATCCTTTAAGATATCAAAGAACCCACTGAGACTCCTTTGCTGTTGCTTCTGGGCAGATTCAAGCACTCCTTTTATTATGCAACTTATATGTACCCCCATTGTAGCAATTTTCTTGTTGCCTTTAACGTTTTTTCCTGTCTCCTCACTAGACTGTGTGTGTCTTGAGAACAGAGCTGAGTCTCATTCACTCTGTATTGCACAGATGGATTATACAAGGCCTGGGACTCAGTTAACATCTCCTAAATGAGAAAATGAATGAAAGAACAAAATACTTAAAAGACCAAATACCTAATACATAAGAGAAAATCACTTGGGGTTCTGAATCCAATGTTTTCACCCAGTGAGAGACACTTCTTGTCTTTTGGTCTCTGCAATTCCAGTTACTAACAGGAGGAAGTGATTGGGAATATAAAAGCATAAATGGTTCCCCAGATACTAATTAAAAGGAACTTCGGCTCTGGAGAAGCATCCTGCAACCTTTATCAGGAGGTTCACTTTAGATTCTGGCAAGAGGGAGGCTTCAAGTAATTATAGAACATCAATGCTAGAAGAGCCCTGGAGATCATCTAGTCAAATCTTCCTACATTTCAAGGAGAAAACAGAGGCTTGGAAGAGGAAATAACTTGCCTCAGGTGCCAGAGCACGTGTGTGTCAAAACAAGACTAGACCCTCTCTGATTCTCCCAACTCCTTTCTTAATACTTTATCTTCTCACTCCTTCACAGTGAAAACCACTTGGAAGTGATTTCCAAACGTAATTACCCCAAGCCTCCAACAGTCTAGGGAACAAGCTCAAAAGGCATATGAGTGTTAGAGGCCAAATAACACATTGGTAAGTGAAAAAAGGCAGCAAGACTTCCTTTCTAAAAGCTGTGTCCCCCAGATCCCAGCTTCCATAGGGCATACAGCTATCCACACTTAGGTGGACTCCCTCATAGTGTGTGGCAAAGAAGCCCCTGGATATTTTACCCCAGTAAATATTTCCAGGTTATCTAGTCTCTGAGCAACTTTGAGGCAGTCTCTTTTTCTGATTTATGAGGGGCCCTACCATGCCTCATGCTCATATACACTGCACAAGTTCATTATATGCTTCCTGGTTATACTGAGGCTGGTGTCTTAGGTTCTGTCATGGGAAGATGCTCAGATTGAAGAACTGGAAAAAGCAATAGGGCACTGCTTATGTAAGTTCTGGTAGAGCCATCTGATGGACTAATATGCAGCCTTTGAAAATGCTGCTTACAATAAAGGAAAATACTCCTCTATCCTATGAACTGAAAAATCACTTAAAATTATATATGTGATATGATCTCAACTCTATAATAAAACATGAATGAAAGGCTGGAAGGAGATACAGCAAAATGTTTACAGTGATAGCCTCTGGGCTAGAAATGAGGTAGGCTTTATGAGTATGTTTTTACCTTTTGCTTTTGTCTATGCTGAGTTTATACACTATTCTTATAATCAGAAAAAAAATCAATTAAAAATAAGAAAAAAATATAGTGCAATTCCCACTGGAGGGAAAAAAAAACTCTGCCTGGCTATAAAATGAATATGCCATGAAACTAATGTTCTGAAATAGTGGGAAATGTTCTGAGGCTGAAGGAAATATTACTAAATTATAAGGGTGGATGCATCATGGTGGTAGCATTGTTGAGATCTGTTTTTCTTCTATTCTCTATTTTTCAAATATTCTTTAACTATGGTGGTAGCAGCAGTTAGTCATGGTGGTGGCAGAAATAAGAGCAGGAATTAAAGCCACTATACATTGAGGACTTGAAAGCGCCAAGCATCACACCAAGGCACTTTGTAAACATTATCTCATCTCAGTCATCACAGTCATCTTTTCAGGTGGGTTTGACTTTGCTCATTTTAGAGGTAGGAAAACCGAGGCTCATCCATATTAAAAACTTCCATACCTAAGTGACAGCCACAGAACTAAAACCCAGGTCTGCCTGACCTCTGAGCTCATGTTCTGTACTGTTAGATCATGTTAGTTTTGTTTTTAAAAAATGAAGTCATTTCACTTTACAAAATACAGACAAAGTGCCCGCCTCTGACTGCCAGGGCTCACCCTGGGGCTGGGGACTGCAGAGCTGACCAACCTTGAAAACCAGGGGCTTCCAAAAACAAGTCACTGACAAATGCCAGCATCAGGCAGCAGATGCTGCTCTGAATTAATGAGCAAGACAGTGATGAATGGATTTTGTCAAGGCAGTGCAGAGCTTGAAGCTCAAAGCTCTCCACCTGCTTCTTGCTGTCTGTGTACTGGCATAGAGGTCAGGAGACTGAACATCACAGGCCACAAAATCCCAGTGCTACACTCCTTCAACTAGATCCTATCAATGACCATTTGCTTCATATTGCTCCTGTCAGCAACTACCCACTGTCCAGGGGCAGGCAGCTTTCTAGAAGGCTCTGTTAACAATGGCAATGTGCCCAGAAGAAAGAGATGCACAGCCAGGAAGCCAGGTAGCTCGTAGGTCCTCTGCTTTCTGGCTCTGAGACCTCTGGCAAGACATTTCACATCTCAAGCCTCTGTTCTCAGGTGTAAAATGTAGGTAACAGCATCATCCTGTCCACCTCACAGAACTGCTAGAGGACAGATGAGACCATCCATCCCTCACAGACATGTGTCTCACCTTTCTTACATACAAATCTGAGTATGTCATGTCCCTGTATAAAACCCTTCAAGGCTCCCTGCATGGGTAGGGCAAAGTCTAAATACATAGTAGGACTTACTTATGGCTTACATAGTAAGGCCCTCATGAGTAGGTCCCAGCTTACCTCTCAGGTTACACTTCTTCCCTCGGCTACTCATGAACCCTCAACCCCAAATAACATATTCTTTTTTTCCCACTCACACTGCATAACATTTTCTCCATGAATATCATGCAATTTCAGGCTCTTATGCATGCTATTTTCCTTGACTGGAATTCCCTGTCTTCCCCTGTTTACTTAGTTAAATCCTTTAAGATGGCTCAAACATCACCTGCTGGTAAAGCCTTCCATGACGTCTCAAGGCAGAGTCCGCTTCTCCACCCTGGCTGCTCACACTGCAGTATGCATCATAGCCCTTATCGCACATGAGATGTCTATTTATGGACCATGCATGCACTATGCACCTCTGTCTCTCAGACCTCCTGCCCAGTAATGTTTCTACAACATGGCCCAAGTACAGGGCATGATGTAGGAAATGGGGAGACCATAAAGATAAGGGGCCCAGAGAGGTGAGATGACCCAAAACAAGTGTGAGCGGTGGTGTGGCTACTCCAGCCGAACTGGAGACAGGCGCTGAGATGCACAGTGAGGGCAGAAAGGGAACAGCACTACAAGAATAGAATGTACAGATCATAGGCATCAAAACACAGCAGGATTATTCCAGGAACACCAAGTACAGCAAAGCGCAGCAGACGAGCAGCAGAGGTCACTCCTGGAAGGCACAGCCCCACTCTAGAAAAAGTAGGTTCCAGCTTATTGACAGGGGCCTTCAGGAGAAGGGGGCACACCTCCCCAAGGGTGAGGGGTGGGGAATAAAAGGAGCTGTAGAAAGCTGTCCTGACTCAATGCTACTCAAACACTAAGGGGGTCTGCTCTGTTAAAGCATCTCAGCCTGGAGAGGCAGAGGTTCAGAAAACAATTTTCAAACCCCCAACTGCCACTGGAGACAAGATCTCCCAGCAAGTGAGCCAGGCCAAATCCTATCAGCTCTTGTGAAGGTCTTGGGGCTAGGAGTGCCCACCTCTGGACTGATCAAGAAGCTGCTCCGGAGCTTTTTCTTGGGGGAAAATGGCTATAAAATGGCAACAAAGCCACCCTGCCCTCCCTGTGGAAGCTGTGATCACCTCGCAGGGAATTCCACCGGATTGCTCAACTCTGAACAGCGGGAAATTAGGGTGAGGAAAACAGAGTGGGCCAGGATGCGGACAGGACCCAGGGTAAGAAGTACTGAGATCCCAAGGAGAGGATATGGGCTGAGGCCAGTCCTGTGCAACTAGCCAGGCACCACTCTGTCTTCCAAGCAGCAGCCCATGACAGCCCTGGGACCGGGGTTGCACAGTTGCCCTTAGGGCCGCCTGATTGGTTCCCCGCTCCGTGCCTATGGGGCCAGGCGCCCGCAGATGCTATGGCAGTGACACGCATGTGCAGAGGCACGTGCGGCCCACTGGGGGGTGGCGGTTCCAGGGACTCATTGGAGGGAGGAGGGGTTTGAGGCGTTGGCTCTGTGTCTCAGAGAAAGTCTTGGCAAGCACCGCTGCCCAAGTGGGGGAAGTGTGCCGACAGCAGCTCCAGAATGGCAGCCTCCCGCTGGCCCTGGGTTAACAGACGTCTAAGTTCAGCCTTTGCTAGAACTCGGCCCAAACCGTGTTGCCCTGTGTGTAGAACTCTCGG